TAGATAGATAGATAGATAGATAGATAGATAGATAGATAGATAGATAGATAGACAGAGACGGAGATAGAGAGAGATAGAGATATCCTAACAAATATCACAAAGTTAGCAGCTTAGGGCAAAGAGTTTTCTTGGCTCATGAACTGGTGATGTGATCACACCTTGGATACAGCCTGCCTATTCCATGGAACATCCAGCAACTGAGAGCTTAGACCCTCCAAACACCCACCTGTTCCTACGTCTGAAGTTGATGTGGCTCTCAGATGTGCCTCGGGGAAACTGTTGGCCAGAACACAGCCTCATGATCTCCACACATAACTACTGGGCTCCAGGGAGAGTATCCCAGGAGAACAGAGTAGACGCTTATGGCATTGATATGACCTAGTCTTAGAAGTCAGAGTATTACGTCCACATGATTCTCAGGTTAAGGTAACTGTTCTACCAGGAGGGGATGCTGTCGGCACCAGGAGGCAAGAGGCCAGAGTAAGCAGTTGCAGTGCAGAGCCTTCTTTGGAATTTGTGATCTGCTAAGTGTGCACTCAAATTTCTTACTCATTGTCTTAGTGCTCTTATCATTGAGCTGAGGTTTTCATGTACTCTGGAATTTAGTTCTCTTTCTATCTGAGGTTTGACTTAGGGTCTTTAGATTAATGTTTTGCTATAAGGTCAAGATGAAATATAATTTCTCTCTCTCTCTCTCTCTCTCTCTCTCTCTCTCTCTCTTTTCTTTTTTCCTTCCTCCCTCCCTCCCCCTCTCTTTCTTCCTCCCTCCCTCCCTCCCCCCTTTCTCTGTGTCATTCTGGAAGTAGAAACTCTTAGAAAAAAATAGTTTTAGTAACTATTGCATTTGCATATTTCAGCACAGTATTCAGATCTTCTGACAGAATTTCAGATCGTAATTAAGGTGAGGGTTCTTTCTGCATTGTTTTGTATATCATGTCTCCAAAAGAATTTATCTTACCATTTAAAAGTAAGTGTGTGTGTGTGTGTGTGTGTGTGTGTTTGCATGTGCATGTAAGGGGTATGTACTCATGTACATATGGACAGAATTGTTAAAATGCCAAAGGATGACAGGGTGGTGTTCCCATCACATCTGCTGTGCCAAACATTACCAATCCTTTCAGAAACTATCTTCTTAAAGTCACACTCAGTGTCACGGGCAGGCAGTTCCTCCCTCTGACCTTCTCTGCTTCTTCCTCTTCCCTCTCTTTCCTTTCCTTCTTTGTTTTTGGAAGCTCACATACAACACATCTGGTTTTCAGACTGTGCTGTGGGCTCTAGGCTCACCCTATTTTACCAGCTGTTCAGCCCCTCCATCCCCTCTTCACTGTAGGTAGGAGAGAAATCAGGTAGTTCCCTCTGAATCCTGCCTCTTCATAGTCCTAAAAGTTACTTTGTGTGTCTAATAACAATTTTTCATAGATAACATTATTTCTGGAAACAATCTACTCAGAATGTTCCTCATTTCGCTGTATTTTATATCTGCATACCCCAAATGCCATCCCTTTAAGGAACTGGTGGATGCTGGAGAAGATACTTTGCAAGAAATTAAGTCTCTGGTATCGAAGCTGCAGTACAGGGATGAGAAGATTGAGTCCATTAGCACCTGGCTACTTGAGGGAATTGGAAGGCTTCGTCATCTAATGGAAGAAGAGTCACCGTCTAGCCTTAGTAAAGAGGACCTTCAGAAGCTGGGTAAGGTAGTACTTCTGGCTGCCTTGTAGTAGCTAGTGACATCAAAATAAGTGGGTCCTCAGGGACTTGTCATCAAAGGAAGGAGGACAGTACACTCTGGTGTTGGACCTTCCACCAAACACCCTTCTCGTTTTGGGTCGAGTTTGTCAGAACAGCTCGTCAAGTCTTCCTTTCACTTGATAACATTTCAAGAGAACTAAATTTTCTTCATGGTTAAAAAAAGAAACTAGATAATTTGTTTTTGAGATGGGATCTTAACATGGAGTCTAGTTTGGCGGTAACTCAGAATCTTCCTGACTGACTCCCTGAGTGCTGGCTTTACAGGGATTCAGAAACATTCTTTGTTGGAAAAAAAAACATTAAAGTCCTGCATTTGGGGGCTTGAGAGATGGCTCAGCGTTTAAAGCACTTGTTGATGCTACAAGAGGACCTGGGTTCGATTCCTAGTGTCCAAATAATGACTTATAACAGTCCTAACTCCCAGTCCAGTTCCAGGCATTTCTTGGCTCTTCTGGCCTCCATGGCTGCCGGGCACTCACATGGTATAAGTACATGCAGGCAAAACATTCATAGATACAAAAGTAAATACATTTAAAGGTAATAAACTCCTTAAATTCTTAAACAGACAAAAACACTAAATATCATTTCACCTCTTCTTCCTAAGCTTAATTTGGAATTAAAATCAGAAATCGCCTTCTCTGAAAAACAACTCTCTCTGAGTGTTTCTGAGACGTGAATGGCTAGTGTACCCTCTTACCTGTGCTACACTCTCAACCCCTGTGGCTGTGTCACATTAGACCCGCCCCAAACTCTGTCCAAGATAGGGATGCCGTGAGAAATGGAGGGAACCATTCTCAACCAGATATAGCCTAGAACACCCAGTGAAAGAGCCACTGGAGCAGAAGGGACAGTAGGAAACATCTGGAAGGAGGAAGAAGGGGCTGAAGAGGACAGAAGGAGTAGTGGAAGGAAAGCAACACAGCCCAGCAAGGGTATAGTTCTGTGAGGTCATTTGGGTTGAATGATTACACTGCTCGTGTATAAAGGCAGGATGCAGGAAGAGAAATGGGATAGAAGTAAAGTGGACCAAAGTACCAGGGCCGGAAAGCATCCCAGTACTGGGTGTAGCCTGTATTCTGGAGGCTTCCTGGTTAAGGTCCGGTGTTTCAGCAGCCAGTGAGGGGTATTGTGAGTCAGCTGCTGAAAGCTGTTTATCTACAGTCCTGGGGGAGCCTGATGAAGCTCACTGACCACATGTCCGTGGTTCCCGACTACCTGACTGCTCATTGCAGTTCCCTGACTAGGAACAAACACTGCAGCTAAAGCAGAATCCAAGCGGTCACTCATCCACAAGTGTCACGCAGCTCACAAGGGTTCATTTGTCTCCTGACTACATCACGGCACTTGTTCAGCTGTAATCAAAAGCTTGCATGTTAAAAATTGTCTATAATGTGGGTTCTAGACCATGGGTTTCTAGCCCTTGAATAATACATAGTAAAACAACCAATGGTCTCCAAAAATCAACACTCACTTAGGAAGCAAATATTAAGAATTCTGTTTATATTTGATGTGGTTATCCTTTAAAATGTGTGCTTTTGACTGTGTTTAGCATTTTTAACCCTATCAATATATCAATATATCAATATATAAGTAGCTAATAGGGGCTTATGGTTCAAGGTAGTGGGTAACATAAGCTGGAGACCACTGGCCTTCCTATCTTGTGGTAAAAAATGTCTTTCTAAGCAGGGCATAGAAGCATACACCTTTAATCCCAGCACTTGGAAGGCAGAGGTAGGTGGATCTCTGTGAATTCGAGGCCAGTCTGGACTATATAGTGAGTTCTAGGACAATGAGAGCTATATAGTGAGACATCCATCTTGAAAAAGCTACAACAACAAAAAAGTCTTTCTGGCTGTCATCGGTATTTTGAGGAAAGCATATAGGCTGGCAGGAAGTGTAGTGGAAATGCCTGCTGCTACTTTTGGTTTTGAACTCCTTCATACATATATATATATATATATATATATATATATATATATACCCTATATTGTTAGATAGTTGGAAAAACCCAAAAGAACACTAGCATTCCATGTCATTGTTCCACGTGAGGTCCCATTTCCACACCTCTGCAATTCTATAGAAACCCAGCCATGTTCATTCACAGACTACAGATGCTTGTGTTTTTATAGTACAAATGACAGAGTAGCTGTGACACGGGCCATGTGACCCACCAAGTCAAGAACATTCACTACCTGAATCTATACAGAAAACATTTAAAAGTAGCATGTTGACACTGGCCTGAGAGCTTCTCTTGGCAAAGCCTAAGCTCACACAGGTTGAGACAGGGAAAATGGAAGGTCATTTTGTCTCCAGCCCACACAGTGGTGAACACCTACAGTGAAATAAAACAAAAACTGGATTTTCATTGACAATGAAGACTATTATGGAAGAATATGTTTAGGACAGATCGTTTTCACAAGTCAGTAGAATACCAAGTGACAAGACTATGATTTAAAGCACCATATCTGGGGCTGGAGAAATGTCACTGTTAAAAGCCCTTGCTGCTTTTGCAGCTGACCCACATTTTGGCTCCCAGCATCAGGAGTTGGAGGCTCTGAAGAGTGGGAAGCTGAGCTGAGCTCTGGGGGTGGACCGCTGGCTTGCCATAGCTCTGCCCATGTCAGCTCCTGGGCACAGGGCAGAATATGGGCTTTGAAGCCAGGTGGGGTTGTACTCCTGCTGTTCATGCCCTTTCTCACTCTTCCTGGTTGTAAAGTTAGAGAAACAACAAAGGGCAGTTAAAAATATCAATCCTGTATTGACTGTTCATCGGGTGTCTGGAATCTCCCACTGTCCAAGGGAAGCGAGTACCACTTGGCCCTTGACTTACTCCACCACCTTACAGCCATGATGTCTCTGACTTCTGAATTGCAGGCATATTTCTTGAAGCCCTGGACTGCTTCCAGTTCTGCAGCCCTCTGCTGCCCACTGTTGGACATAACACGTCACTACAGCCCTTCAGGTCCTGGCCTCCTCCACACCCGTTACACTAGCCTCATTACTGTACTGAGTATCCCTGGGCAAGAGAAGAGGCGGTACCTCCTGGAGATACAGGGGCAGAAACAAAGCTCTCTTATTGAATGTTGAAAGCACATAGAAAAGTCAGAGACGGGTGCAGACGGGAGCTGCCCAAGAGCCCCAAGTACAATTGGAAAGAGGAATGAGTAGGTTATCAGAATGCTAAATGCCAGAACTCACCTGAAAACTGTCAATTAACTTTGTACCTTTTCAGTTTTATAAGAAGAAATGCACATATACCTAAAGCAAACAGCAACAGTACAGATTACTTTTAAATTATTAAAAATGTTTTGGGCCAAAGGGATGGCCCAGTGGGTAGAGGTCTTTAGCCACAGGCCTGGTGGACACCTGTGTCCAATTCCTGAGACCTATGTATGCCCATACAAGTTGTCCTCCAAACCCTGTATGCCATGTGCTATACTCACTGACCCCTCACATACTCTCACACACACATACCTACATGCACGTGCACACACACGTGCGCGCACACGCACACACACACCCACACACACAGCAATTACAACTTTTAAAAGAACTTTTTTCATAATCTTTTCCTTAATTTCAAGTCAGAATGAAGATGAATTTAAATATACTCACAATCCTTTCTTGTATTTGTGTTTTTAAATCAGCATTCAGAGTAACAAGCTTCTGTGTGCCATTTCTAGACATAACTAGTTTTGCCCAAACCTCCATACTCATATGCTCCACTTTCCCATCTCCAAGACCCGCCCTCCCCATGTGTACCCTTCTCCCCTGCTCACTCCGTCCACACAGGGTGTAATCATTTCCACCCTCACATTACATGTGTTTCCTCTAGGCTCCCACTTCCCACCTTTGCGGCCTCTCCACCTTCTACGGGCCCCTTTCTAGTTTGCTGTCATCTCTTCACACCCACTCACTCCCGCATGAAATGCACATTTAGAAAAGCTAAAGGCTTGGGACCTGCACAGAAGGTCATGTCGCGTTTGATTTTCCAAGCCTGTAACCCCACTTACTATTTCCACTTTCACTCATTTTCCTACAAATCTTATAATTTCTTTTTTCTCTCTGGTAGAATAAGATTCAACTGCATGCACAACCCACATTCTCATCAGTCATCCATAAATAAATGTCTCGGCTGATTCCGTTCCTTCCTGTGATACAGCAGCAGTCACTGCAGATGTGCACATAGTTCTCCGGTAGGCTATGGAGCAGTACAGCTGAGTCACATGGCAGTTCTGCTTTTAAACACACATATTGGCCATTTGCATTTCTTTTAAGAACTATCTGTTCAGTTAAAATTCCAACTCTGTTGAGCATTCAGTTACACACGGAGTGTTTTGTATTGATCAAATAATACATTCCTTGCAGAAGACCTCTGTAGATCATAGTGTGTTTTAAAGACTGAAAAAAAATTTCTTAGCATTGTCAAAGCTGGCTTTTCATCTTATAATGGAAAAGCAATTCAATGCTATTATGACCATTTTGATCATTTAATTCTGAAAAAAAACTACTTTTAATTTTATAGTTATAGCAAAATTAACATTACAGACAGAAAAGTAAAGTGAAATCATTTGTTGAATAATTGTCAAAAGGTATCTTGAAAACCCCACTGTGCAAGCCCTGCCCCAGGAGGCTGAGGCAGTCTGGATCCAGAAGCTCAAGATCACCCAGGCTACGTAACAAGACTGTCTTGGGAAAGGCAAGCCTAACCAAACCAAACCAGAAATGTCTCTTGGAAAAACTGAACTCTAGATAAGGAAGACCTTTAAGCCAGGGATTCTCAACATTCCACATGGAGGTTGGAAGGAAAAAAAAAAAAAAAACCTTGAGGCTACATCCTAGACCAGCTGATTATGAGTAATCCTGGCGTGAAGTCAAGCCTGTTTTGTTTTTGAAATTTCTACATGGTTTCAGTGAGCAGCCAAGTCCTTTAAACTCATAGTTTTGAATAAATATGTTGTTAAACTCATCAGGAAATCCAAATTAAGAGAATATTTTGCCTTTCAGATTATTCAGGTCTGAATAGCAAATTACTCTAGCCCACAGCAGTAAAAATTGCAATGAAAGCTGACCTAGGATGAGAGCCATTTTTAATAATTAACTAATTAATTAATTAATAGCCCCGGATATCCTGAAGCTTGCTCAGTAGAACAAGGCTGGCCTCGAACTCACAGATCCACCTGCCTCTGCCTCCTGTTTTGCATATTTTTAATGAACACATTTTATCAAACTTTACTAACATGAACAATTAGTGTGGCTATGTCGATAACTTTGTTTCCATAAAGCAGATTGTAAATAGCAGACATTGAGTATCCCTAACAATCTCTGCCTTTGCAGAATTGTAATCTTTTTTTTTTTTTTATGACTTCTCTTATACATACTTCTTTGCTAGGATACAGGATACAGAAAGGTAACTGTCCAAACCATTTCAGATGCAGTAGGCTCAGAGATGGCACATTAGACAAGTCACCTCTCATGTATGGACCCTTGGAGCAACTCAGCATTTTAATAATCATTAATAACCACAAAACCCAAATTTTTTTCTTACAGGAAAGAAGCAAAAGACTCAAAAAGTTCGTTTTTCCCCATCCGATCATGCTAGGAGAAATACATTAAGCCGGAACTGCAAAATGTTAAAGAAACAACCGAGAAGCCAGGAGAAGCCCAGGTCATGTGAGTGCTCCTAAGTCTGTGTTTTTCAGGATCAATAGAAGTCTTCAGAGTTGCCATGAGCAGATTCTGGGACTAACCTTTCAAACCACAAATGGATACACATGGCCAGATTATTAGGCTAAGGGTTCTTTTTGTTTGTTTGTTTGTTTCCATGGTTATAACATGAGTCTCTCCAAGCCTTCAGAATATGAACATGATAGCTTACCCATACAAAACCAGCCACAGGGACCTTCTATATTTCATATTTCATTTCTATCTCAGAGACTTCCAGTTATAAGATCCTGACTCAGAAATGTCATGACTGGAAAAAAGTCTCAGGAGCGATACAGTGTGGCCTATGTATCTTGTTTTAAGAAATAGAATATGAAAGAATGGGAGTGAATGTATTTATTTAGTAGACCAAAGAAATATGACTTAACATTAATAATTATCAGAACATTGAGTTATTTTACAGCTAAACACTTTGTTTTCCTCTTTACAGGAACAATAATCTGAACATGTCTTCAACCAAACTGTCTCTAAACAGAAAGTTTGCTATATAAATTATGCTTTATTTTTGTAATATTACTAAACACTGTATTGGTAAAAATAAATAGCCATTGACAAAGACATCCTTTGTTTCCGTTTTTGCCATCACACTCCATAAGCACGTTTGCCTTTGTAATTCCTTATAGGTAAAAAGCCAAATGTCCAGACAACAGAGACATAATGACGCCACAGCAAAGGAGTTCAGAATAGACTTGTTAAAGGGTTTTCACAAAAAGCAGGGAGACACCATTGGACAGGTGTACAGAAACATGGCCGTGCTCCAAAGAGCACTTACAACTGCCTGTTGGTGCTTCCGGTGTGACAGTTAAGATATGTGTAGCACAGGAACATGAGGCCATGTAATTCCAAGGAACCACAAGGTCTGATAAATCAAAAGATAAAACACAAGCATTAAAATATCTGGAGAATCTTCTTCCCATATATGAAAGAATGCTATTAATACATTTTAAATTCTTCTATACTTTTTTTTTAATTAAGAATACTTTTGGGGATTTTTTTTTTTTTTTTTTGGCATTTGGCATTCAGTGTCCATTGGCCCCTTCTGAGAGTATCCGTGATGGTTCAGTAAATTTTGCAGTGAACAAGTAAAACAGAGCTGGTGTAGGTACCAAAGCCAAAAGCGGAAGGTCGTGTTCGAGCCGGTCCACTCTGGAGATAGAGACTATTCCATAGGCGTGCAGTAGCCAGTGGCTGAAGAGGACAATGAGTCTTTTCTTCCTGACCAGAAGATCATAGCAGTTCTATGTGATCATCGTGGAAAAGAAAAGAGAAGCACAGATCAGCATACCTGTAAACCACTGGTCTCTACACACTCATGGCTTAGACTCTGAATGCTTGAGCTAAAAAGGACTTGAGAATGGCCCCAATCACCCGGTCTAGCCACCACGCTGTCCACACATTCACACAGGTCCTCAGCAGCCACACTTGGCCTGGATCCCTTCCCTGGGTCCTCGTCCACATCACCATTTACTCGGGGAACATAAGCTTCTTTAGACAGACATGAACTAGAAGAGGAAGCACACAGGGCATGCTCTCTCCACCCAGTTCCATAAACCTCACTTCCTGACTCTGAGGTCTCCAGTATCTGTTGTCTGAATACACTCAAGACAACAGAAACAGCTCATTTATTATCTGATTCTCTTTCAACCTTCAGTGCCATGTGATAACATGGAAAAGTTTAAAGGATAAAATCAATAGAAAAGCAGTGTCTAAATGTTCTAGTAAACACTGTGATGGAGAATGTTCGGTGGGTTACTCTTCAACTCTCCTTCCTATGTCAATCACTCACAGGCTCCTCTAGCCCTGGACTGTCTGTCTCAGGATTCAGAGCCCTGTTTATAACTCCTGAGTACAGAGCTAACTGAAAGATACAAACATCTTACAGAGCAGACATACTCAGGGGCAGAGAACTAAAAGAGTTTCAAGATCTAGAAAAGCAGTATTCATTTGTCACTATGCATACTTTATTCAAATAATCTAACGCACCTTGATCTTTTCCTGGTTGATGAAAAGTCAAAATCAATTTCCTATCTTCTCTAATTAATCCAGGGCAATGCTGATAACCATTACACAGGAGCAATAAGCTGTCTACAACAGGGAAGGCTGAATAACCACCATGAAAGTATTCCATTCAGTTCCTTCCTTATTTACCTAAGGTATGGCCACACCTCAAGCTGTCACCAATGTATTAGAAACAGTGGTGCCAACAGCCATCTACCGAGAGTTAACATGTTTTCTTTGGCTGCCCTTTTGAATATAAGAAGTGTGAGAACACACACGTCGAATGCCATGTGCAGCAGATACACTGCAGCACACCTGGGAAGGGTCTAAGCCTTGGTCCTTAGATCCTTGGGAGTTCTACCCCAGATAGAACCTTCTAATTAGACCTGTTGACGGGTTTAATGGAAATAACGAGGTAAATGTGCTATCTTAAGATGAATAGGAGTTGAGAGTCACGTAATCCAAAAGAAAATTGCAGAAGAGATGCCCCAAACTGCCCACTGACTAAGTCTCATGAATACATTTGTCCTAGTTAGGGGTGTCAAATATAACGTTACTTCTCATCAGTTCCTCAGACTGTTAACTGCTTAATACTTTAGTTCCTTAAAAATAAAATATTAAAAAATGTGACGGTTAGGGTTAGAGGCTGTTCCACTTTTACAACAATTATGTTAAATCATTTCTCTTCCTCTTGTTGAGTCAGAGCACTGACTACTTCCCGAATTTCCCAAGGAAAGATGCAATGCAGCCCATACAACCTCTCATAAAATTAACTAAGGAGATGCAGGTAACATCAATTAGCCAAGAACCACTGAACCAGTTAGTATACCTTACCATATCACATGTATTATTCCATTCAATTGTCAATTTTGTTTAAAAACAAAAACTAAACTATAACAAAGGAAAACCAATTTCCTACCTCTATTTCTGAAGCAGACATGTACACAGCCAGGGTGACCAGAGATAACACTAAAATAATGTACGGGAAGGCGTAATCTGGAAAAGAGACAGACATCAGAAACTGATCATCAGCTAGGACACCGCTCTTCTGGATTCCTTCTCAGCCAGTCTGGGACTTGAGTCCCATTCCCGAGATGGGATTGACAGCCAGTTCTTCATGGATTACAATATTTGTGGCCTTGTAGCAGCTTTGCTGCTGAACTCATATCAGTAAGATATGAGTGTCATACCAGTTTTACATGGTAACAAGTTTGCTTTTTCAATTTTTTTCTCAATCTCTTAAAAATGTAAATCTAACTTTTGTCACCGATCAATAGCTAAGAGATTTGAGGCAGCTGAAGGATTCGTTGAAAAATATTAACTTCTCTCCCACATAGCTAGATCGCTACGAGTAGCTACGTGCCAAACAAGAGAACTGAGGAACACTCAGTTCCCTGTGCTTCACGGTCCTGAAAAGGGACCTTGGTTGAGAAGACTAACCAGGAAAGTAACTCAGCTTTCATTATCTTTAGAAAAGTCCATTTATCATAAAACTTTTTAGTTAATTCTTTGGTATTCTTCCTGTCAAAATTCTGGAAATTTCTATGTCAAATGCAGTACAGTAATAATATCTTGGGTAAGTCTTCCCTACAAGACGCTGCCACTTTCCTATCCTACTATGTCAACATTTATAGCACACAAAACGGGCAAATTGAGAAAAAAATACCTTGAATTACTTTGACACAATTATTTTAAAATAACTTCAGTTTATAAAACCTGCAATTATTCTACAAAGCACCTTTGGAACAAGTGGAAATGTTTGTTAGGAGGTGGTGGCCAGAAGCCTCAATTACCAACAGGCCTGTTCAGCTTAGTTTAGAACTGAGTTAATAATATCTAGAACTTTTTATGTTACTGACTGGGTCCTCAATCAGTCACCATAAAACAACAACAACAAAAACTCATTCAGTTAACTTACAGCTAAATAACACTGCTAACCATATAAAGTTATGACCTGGTAAGAAAACCCAAACTTCCAGGCAGCAGACAGGTACTACTTGGCTAGACAGAAGACTAAGAGCGGTCCTTAAATTCTAGGATGTAAAACCACCTGAGATCTTGTGTCCCTGGGTCTGGGCCTGGAGATGAGCATGTTCTTCCGGTGGGTCAGATGTAGATCACACAGAAACACTGGTTGAAGATATCTAAGCCAGAAGCTTGCTGCTGCCCTCTCACGACCATCCTCAGGCCTCCTTTCCCTAGGCCACTAATCCCCAGCATCTTAAACTACCAGAAGTTGCCCAATGTATTTTGTTCACGTTTGCTATATTTCCTCAAAAAAATTACTTATCTTCTTCCAAAATCATACATTTGCTATGAGCCCTCTGTGACTAACATAGCAACCTGTAAACAAATAGTAACCACTTGATCATCCCCCCAAATATGAGTGGAGTCTTGTTAGCAAAATGTGTGGAAAGGCCGATTTTCAGTCTAACATGTCTCTAAGGAAGTTACTTCTGTTATGTTACCTGATTTTTTGCAATAGCTGTGATTTACGAAGCAATGCTATCCGGCCGAGTTAAGATCCCAAACCTTCCCCTGATTCCATAGCTCTCCCCTTTCTTCTGTCTCCAAAGAGCACCAAAAAGTTAGGCCAGAGGAATTAGACACTTACTTGTAACTTTACGTTTGAATTTGTATATTTTAATTTCAGGACAAAACGAAACAAAAGCAGTATACAGCACCCAACCCTGCTCTCAGGTGAAGGTGATTTTCTGGCCTTTGACACACAAAGACCGAAGAGAACACCAGACAATAGCAGAGGGATCCTTGTGGGCCAGGACCACTGAGGCTTCCGAGGAGCCATGAGGAAGCTATAGAGGGCCAGCCAGGCTTCCCAGGGGGACCCCGATCTGCTTCTACTGAGACACCTCCTCACATGGAAGCTCACCATGCTCAGACAGAGTATGCATCAGCATCAGCAGTGCCACGCTGCTCTGCTGTTACCTCACTTCATCATGGATGGGTTAGGCTGGAAGGGTGTGGGGGATCCTCATGCCAGAAACCAGAATCAAGCAGAGCAGCTTCTAACAGCAGTGCCCTGGGTCCTTGATATCCTTGTGAGCCTTAGCCTTGTACCACAGGGTCTGCACAATGGGATGGTTAGGACTGATCACCAGATGCCCTCTGACTGACAAACAGTCCACTACAGAGCTGTCTCAAAGAACCTGGGCCTTCATGGCCTGAAGGCGATCATTAATACAGCAGGATGAAGACACAAGCCTATCAGAGACTATCACCTCCTCAACCTTCTTATCCAAGACAGCCTCCATGAGTGTGTAGACGTTCTCAAACTCCACCTGTTCTCCTCTGGTAGTTCCTCATGCTCTGTGGCCATGGAGACCAGGCTTTTCCCATCAAACTCCTTGAGCGGCTGCATCCAGTGCTCGCCAATGAGGCTGTCACATAAACATCCATTTTTGTTCTCAAGATTTGCCCAGCTCCTCTCTGCTCTCACCAGAGTACAGAGTTTCCTTCATGCGAGACATTTGCTGACAGAGAAGCCATCTCCAGACTGAGAGATGTGACAGACAGCTCAGCAGCTCAGCAAGGCATCACTGCTTAGTAGAGCCTACAGGGACTGCAAGCCTTAGATTCTTAGGAGAAAGCCTCCCAGAATCACTTATGACTCTCTTTGTTTTCTGTCAGCTCAGAGAAGAC